AAAAATAAATTCTTTTAAGTGATCGTTTTTTTACAACTAACGGATTTCAGGCTCAAAATAATGGACATTTTCAATAAAAATTACTGATGACTGGTTTGTAGTTATCATGGAGAGCTTATCTACTCACTCATCTGGCAAATGATTGTTAATCTTTAAACTTTAGCAAATTATTATTGTCCGGTAGGTGAATCAAGTTAAATTGGGGTATGAACTGATTTTGAATTTTTATCCTAATAAACATTTAATATATTTTGTGTCCTCAGATTGGTAGAGTCTGACACAACTTTGAGTGAAATGTGAATTAGCTTGAATGGCTTCTAACGAATCATCTCTCAAAATTGCATTTTGTTATAAAGAATTCACTGCATCAATTTTTATATCTAATCTAAAGCCCGTATATCTGTGTATTTTTTCGTGTATTTCTTCATGTAGTTCAGGGTGCCAAAATTATTTTGTTTTTCATAATGGTGATTTATGTTGCGTTTGAAGTTTTTCGGTTGTCACCAGGGCCGGATTTAGGCACAGGCAACCGAGGCAACCGCCTAGGGCGCCACAATTAGGGGCGCCAAATTGACAACAAATTTATTTCGAGTGAACAAGTTAAATTAAAAAAAAAAATATTCTATATCGCAAGGATGATAGGGAGATAATAAAAGATCCAACAACATTGTTCGGTAATAGTTAATTTACGAATCACCACTGTCACCTGTCACCGCTCATCAAGGCAATTTCGATCCTCTTTAAGTTATAACATGTTAGATGGTGTAGATTATAGGAGGTCTGTTCTCACAGGAATCACAAACCAGCCAGAGCGTTTTTGCTTGGCGCAAATCTCCAACAACCAGTTTCATGACTACTTTCAACCAATGAAATTACCTCTGACTGGTTTGTGATTTCTATGAGAATAAACCTATCAACGAACTCATCTCTGACTTTGCAAGACGTAAAGCCAGACTGGTTCATTTTTAGGGTTGATATTTAATTAGTTTTGGAAAGCTATTTTTGTGAGTTAATTTGAAAAATACATATTATATGTATATCTATGTTTTTCATATCTACAATATAGATCTGTTCTCACAGACATCACATACCTATCAGCGATTTTCATTGGTAATAAACTATCAGAAAACTAAAGTTCATTCCACGAAGCGAGATAGTGAAAGTAAACAAACTTTGACAGGTAAGTCGAATTTTATTGGCGAGAAAAGGATTATACTCCGCCCTAGGCAGGACCATCTTAGGTTGTTTTGTATTTATATTCTCTAAATATATTTCTTTTTTTTTTTTTTCGATTTTCCTATTTCAAACTATCTGGATTTTCTTGATTTAGACACGTTTTAAATTCAAAAAAATCTGAACTACTAAAAGTCCTTCCTCGTTCAAACTGCTTTTTAGGAACGAATTCTTCAGCGGAATCTGTTGAACTTGACATTTTTTCAATCTAAAGTGCTCACTAACTGACAATAATTCACCAAACACTATTTAAATAATTGTAAAATACTAGGAAATACGACAACAAAACTTATAGACTCATATGACAACCTGACAAGAATAAATGGCATTGGTTGTAATTCATTTTTGAAGTCCTTCTCTGAATTTTTGCGCTCCTCCTGTTTGTTTACCTCTACTATCTCGTTTCGTGAAATGAACTTTAGTTTCTGGCGATTTGCACCAATCAAAAACATCCGACTGGTTTGTGATTTCTGTGAGAACAGACCTCATGTAATAAGTAAACGTATGATATACGCTTTTAAAAAAAATGAAGTTACTTTTTTTGTCTTTACTCTCTAAGCGATAGCCTAAAGTCATTGTTTATCATATTGATCTTTAACCATTTTGACAAATCAATTTGAGAAGAGGGGCGCCAGAATTGAACTTTGCCTCGGCATAAAATACCTATAGTACCGGCCCTGGTTGTCACCCCGAACTACATGAAGAAATTCACGGAAAAATACACAGATGTAATACGGGCTTGAGATAGTGTTTTTATTTCATAGAGCTGTTTCTATATAGAATACCCCAAATTTTGAGATTAACATATTATCAGCATGTACTATTTGAGATGATGTTTATTTTATTAGCAGTATTTATTTGTTTATTATTAAAATAAAAGTTTACTACCCTTTTACCCTTCTTTATCTTGAACATCACATAAGATTGTCTAATCCAATGACGTCTAATCTGTGAGATTGTCTAAATGTGTCAGTGTCATTCCGCTCAACGAATAACAGAAACGTAACAGTAAAAATCAAAAATAGGAATACTACATTCTCCTCTAGCTTTAAAAGAAAAGTTTATACTATATGCTTGAAAAAAAAACTTAAATTACTATACCTATAATATCAAATCTCAGATTTAAACAGTCACTAGATATAGTCATTAAGTTACTTGGGCTTTCTACAGTCTCTGTGAGATCTTTGATTACAAACCTCTGTAGATTCGGCAACTAAATCCAAAAATTCTTCTGAACTCATGGAGCTGTCTGCTGACATCTCAACATTTTCTATTGGATTAATGAAACTTTTGAATAATCTGGCTATGTTGTAGTCGTCTATATTTTCATGGCTACTTCCATACTTTGTGGTGAAATCCACGGAAAATTAGCTAAATATGGAGTGACATTTTTTTGGCTTTTTGTATATACTGATTACAAATTTCTCTCACATGTTGTCGTCAAACCAGCATGTTGGAAAAACTTCTTGAAACAGAAACACGAAGAGTTTCTTGTAATTATTTTCTCGCCTGGTTTACCTTTGATAGTGGAGCCCATGATTTTTATTACTGATTGAACTGGCTCAGGGTCAAAACATGGAGTTAAACTTGTGTTTATTTTAGGCTGTTTACAAAGCACTAAATCTTCTTCTATAAAACTGTGGTATTGCGTTTTTCTCCTAGAATACCATAGCTATTTAAAAATGTTGTCAATTCAAAACCATTGTCTGATTTGAAGGTCTTTGGAAAACCCAAAGTAGTAAACATGTGTTGAAAAATTGGTTGCAGATGTGAGAGAGATGTTGAGTTAACTACTTCTACTATAGGGTACCTTGAGTACCTGTCAACAGCAATAAAAACATACTTCCTGTTATAGATAGATAGATAGATAATTTATTGGTGTCAATATCGTAAAATACAACTTACACAAGTCAGTAAATAAAGTAGGTATATACATAAACTATAGCCAAGAACGTGACTGTTCACATACACATTATTCTTATACATATTAAAATATTAAAATTACAATTGGGTATATAACATATTAAGATTACAATTACATAACGTATTAAAAATCACAAACATATTAAAATCAGGACAAATCTAGAGACGCTAAGATGCAGAATTTCAGCAGGTTTAAAAATTTATCACATTGTTTAACATTTCATCACACGAATAAAATGCCTGAGATATTAGATATTGCTTTATTCTGACTTTGAATTTTTCTATTGGCAGGCTTTGCACTCGTTCAGGTAGTCTATTGAAGTACTTGATTGCCCAATAGTTTGGGCCATTTTGACTCTTTTTCAGTCTGTAGAAAGGGACCAACAGACCATCCCTGTTTCGGGTCTCATACTGGTGGTAGGTACTATTCGTCATCAGGTTCTGTAGGTTCTTTTTGGCATGCATAAGACATTCCAGAATATAGATACCAGAATATAGATACCAGGAAAAGGTCCTACATAATCAACATTAATGACTTGGAACGGATAGTCTGATAATGCGCTGGATATTACAGGATTTCTCTGGTTGGTTTTAGTGGCAGCTTGACATAGAGGACATTACTTGATAAATGCTTCTGTCATAACAGTGATACCTGAATGTCCCTTGTGTACTAGTTCGATAGCTTGTTCTCTTAGTGTAGTTGGCAAGACTATTCGATGTCCTCTCAAAATTATGTCATCTTGATAAATTAATTCATCTTTCAGGTCAGAAAAAGGCACAAGTTCTGGTAGTTTCCAAAGGTTTTGTTTCGTTGAAATTATTGCTTCTTTGATAGCTTGAAAATCACGATCTTGTCTTGTAGCTTCTTGAACCATTTCTATAGTCATAGCTTTAGGAAGTGCACTTTTAATACAAATTGAACATAGCCATCCATCTTGTCATTTTTAGGTTCTGATTCACAAATTTCTTGGAAAGGATGCCTTGATAGACGGACAGACGGATCTGCGACTCCTTGTTGATTTTCAATTTTGAAACTGTACCTAAGGCTGGATCCTTAGTAGCATTCTTTCAACTCGAGGATTTGTTGCTGATTTTGTGTTCTGTATAATTTTTACCGATGGAAGATTATCGCAGTGTAAAACAAACTCAGATTCATAGAGATAATTATGAAAACATACTGACCAAGTGCAAGTTTTTCAAATTGATTGTATCGTTTTTGAGTTGAAGTTAAAGTTGTGCTGGCATGTGTTACTATGTACATGTTCTTTTGTGTGTCTTCTAGAGCTAAGATTGAGCCAATTCCATTAGGACCTGCATCTGCATGTAGGTGTGATGTTTTCTTAATGTCGAACTATGCCAAGTTATTAGTATCCCTTAGTTGATTTTTGAGTAAATTAGAGGCTTGTTCATGTTGTGTTGTCTAGTTAAAATCCGAGTGTTTTTTTGTTATCTGGTGCGTACAATTGGTGGTGCGACCCATGTAGTTGGTCCTCTAACCCTCTCTATTATGTTCTGTTTTTCCAGTCTATTTTATTTCTTCTTCAACTGAATATCCTACTTTGGTGTTTCTGTGTTATGGCTGAAACATGTGGAGCAATGTTAAGCTTAATTTGGTTTTTCAAATTTCCAACGCCTTTTGTTAGCTCAGGATAATTATTTTGTACATATTCCAAGTTCATGTTACTGTTAAGGAAATTTGTGCAAGTTATTCAGATTCACCCTTTATAACATGAATAACAGTCTGAATTTAATTGTATTGGCATTGTATATTTTATAATGTGTCGTAATGCTCATGCTTTTACGTTTAGAATCATTCAACAAATACAATTTATTTCTTATTACAGTTTTACCTTCATCAGAAGACGAGAACCTCTCTGTAACTATATCCGAAACAGCAGTCAATATGCGCGTGGCCAACCAAAATATGGATTTAAACGACCAATTTACAATTAGACAACTAAGACAGGGTTTGCATATTCAACAAGTAGTGACGTCATCGGAAAGCGAACAAGAGGAAAGGAAGAGCAATAAGGATTACGAACAAGAAAAACGGTATTCGAGGAATGTTAGAGATTCGCATTCTAGTAAGAAATCGAAAAAGTCTAGACGATCTAGGTAAGAATTATTGTTAAATGAACATTTTTCAAAATTCCATTATATCATAAACTCTTGGGTTACACATGTTTCCCTTTACCATATCTTCTTGTATTTTTTTCTTATGTGAATTTTCACATAGAATGCTGTGGTAGATATCCGACTGTAGTAGATATAGCGCGAGCCTTTCAAGTCTACACATATAATAGTATGTATTAGGACTTCACACACAAAGAATTTTCAATTATTATTATTATTTTAGGAAAAAATACAGCTCAGATTCCAATTCCTACGAAGCCGTCCAACAAAAAGCCCACAGTGACAGTTCAAGTTGTGCGGAAATCAAGCAAGTATGTCAAAGTTCCTTGAATTCAGCTGCTAGCGGGGGTGTTGAGAAAAACCGCGGATCCAGACAATCGAAAACGTCAATGGACGTGGCCGTGCAAGCCAATGGTGACGATTTGGACCTGGAAATGAATAATAAAAAAAATGAGGAAGGCAGATTATCAAAAAGCAAACAAGCTAAGACTAGAGAAAATAAACGATATCGGAAAACGAGTAAATATAATGCTAGCGATGTGGATTCAAGTAAGAATTTTGACAAAATCAAGAAGTCGAAGGAGAAGTATAAGTTTGACGGGAATGGAGATGAAAAGTGCGGACTTTTTGGTAGAGAGTCCAATAAAAAATACTCGGATTTAAGTGACGAAGAAGTTCTTATTGTAGATAAGAATAAAATTATCATGAGAAATACAAGAGATGTAGGAACTAAATTGTATTAGAACATAATGTGCAATTTTTAAAGTTTAGATTCTATTCTGTGTATAATTTCAGTGCAAATACATGCAAAGGCTTTCTAGGATACTCTTTTGTATAGTGAGACTTAATTTTAAACTATTTTATAAGATGTGCATTGTATCAAAAAGTGGTGCTGTGGAAATGAAGCAATTTGAACATAGATTATAGTTAACATTTAAAGTAGACAGATTTGGATGCGTCTCCAAAATAAGGCCATAATGATTGAATTTTATCATTTCCAAAATGCTGGTCATATGGCATTTTACGCTGAAATGCATTCATCTGCTTGGATTCATGTTGCCCATCATTACCATAATTATTAAGTTGATTAAGGATAAATTTTATAGTAATATTATTCTGAAACATTGAAGTTTGTTTTCAAACTATTTAATGTTTAGAGACTTCTGAATTCATTTAGTAAGCAATTAAATGTAAGTCTCTTATTAGTGACTGCTCCATAATGACACAACGAGTATTGTCAGAGGAGTCAAAAAAATCATTTCTCTGAGTTTGTACCTTGTGGCAAACATTGCACTTGATAAATTTGACTTAATTATGTGTGGATTATTGATTTTATCATCGAGTTTTAGTTTTATCAATAGTATCACTATGTATGTACATAAACCTTTTAAAAATGCTCGTATTCCTGAATAAGTTGTACCTAGTTTTATTTAAATATATTTTGTACTTTCCGATTCAACTGCTGTTTTACTAATATATCTTTTTACTTGCACTAAACCTCACCTCGATTGTCCATCTTGGTAAAACCTTAATTGTACTTGAAAAATCTTACTTTTGCCCTGATAGTTAAATTCCTTAGAGTAGGTAGAGAGCAACTATTTAAAAAAAAACAAATCTGCGTTCTCTTTGATTGGTGACCTCTGTTACAAGAGTTCCACAGTGAATCGTATGAGTATGCTTCCAAAATTGAAATTCGTCAAACCTGAACAAAAGTAAATGCAACATGTTTTTATGTTATGATTGGTTTAAATATGACACTGACTTGACTCTTTTTATCATTGTTGAGGTGATAAAAAAGGTCGATTTACACAAAACAACTCAATAGGAAAATGCGTACCAGTTTTATGTTTGGCCAAGTGTATATTTGCAACGAGTGCATTGCAAAAAAAGTAGACGAGGCATTTAGATGATGCATCCTTTATAATTTTGATACCTATACAAAAGTGCAGTTAGAAGTGATCTCGTATCTCTTTATAGTGGTATCAATGTTTCAATTTGAACAACTTTGGTTTCTGCCAAGCTTCCTGCAATTCAACAGATTTGACAGGAAAAGAACAAACTGGCACTCTTAACTCTAATCCCTTGGAAGAGAGGAACGTCAGTAACTATTAGTATTGGATGCAACTTGCTCTGAGTAATTGGCTAACTCCTATATAAATTTTACTTTAGATAAAGCAGGAGCAGTTAAACTTTTGGAAAAAAAGTAGGTACCAAGGAATTTCTCAAAATTATTGTTTTGGTCCTTTTTGCGTTGAAAGTTTTGGTCCCTGGGAAGAAAAGGCATTACAATCATTGAAAGAACTTGGCACATAGTTACAATGTAAAACTGTCAATATGGTGGAGTTTTTTACATGGAAGAGCATTGTATTGCCAACATAATATCAATAATGGCAATTATTTAAAGCTGACCCCAATAGTCATCAGCGATCAGTCGATAACGAGCTGTTCGTGTTGGTATTTTTCTAGGCTTTTTGGGTGTCTTCTGAGGTACGTAATCCATGTTTCGCAGCCATATGTAAATGTTGGTATTACAACTACATTGTGCGTGCGAAGTTTGGTCTCAGCGCTGATAGGATTGTTGAAGACTCTCTCTAGAAGTCGCTTCAAGCCATGTTGGATTTCAGCGTCAATAGTTGCATTTGCTGCCAGATAAGGCTCCCAAGGTACGAGTAGTGCTTCCATACCTTGGGACGTTCTGCAAGGAATGGTCATTTATATTTGGGGCTTGGAGAGTAGTGTCCGGTGCGGGTAGGTGCAGAATCTGCGTCATGTTGAAGTAGACCTCTAGGCCGATTCTCCTGTAAGTATGCCTGATTGAATGCATTGATAACTGCCTGAAGATCTTCCTCTGTATTGGCCATCATGACGTTATCATCCGCATATTGGACTTCAATTGTCGATGTCGTCGATACTTTCGTCTGAGCTAGTAATCTGTTTAGGTTAAATAAGCCGCCATCAAGTCTGTACAGGATTTCCAGTCATGACGACAGATGACCCTCGACAAGGTGAATTATGGATCCTATAAATAATTCATAGTTCATTAACGACTGCTCAACTCATCCATCGACTAATTTTGTAACTTACATCGCACTGTAAAGTATTCTCACACCTACTACTGTAAATTTACGTCGCGGGAAATGGAGACATACTGTTACATTTTTGACGTTATGAAACAAAAAAGCTTCTTTTGTTGTACAAAATCGCAGAGAGAAACGTTTTGAGTGAGATATAAGTTAATTATGGAATGCAATTAATACAGATTAGGCCTTTTGTTGGATTCTTTAAAATAATGAGAGTGGACTGTATTATTTAGATATTTACATTTATTTACACACACGACTATTTACACTATTTACAATTTCTCGTTTTTGTTTAATTTTAGACTTATAGAGTCTGTAAAAATGTTCATATAGGACCTGGCCAGATTTATCTGGTGCACTCAGTGAGCTTCGATTCGACACTGACTCTTCCCGTTGGTTCACTCGCGTAGATGCCGGAAGCCCCTTTTCCAAACACTTTGACAAGTGATTTTTGACACTGTTTGACACATACGCGCACACTTCCGGTGCATACCGGGAAAATTAAAATTTGAATTTTAAATTTATTGTTGGAATATTGTTTCCAACATGCTCGCGGCCAAGAAAGAATCTTAAAATTATTACAAATACTACAACATTGTAAACTTAAATTAAACGAGAGTAAAATATATGTGCATCGACGTTGCACAAAATAATTAAGCGATATAGCACTTATTAAATGGCTTATAGAGCCTCAAAAATTTGACTCATAGAGTCATATTTTATGAAACTAAGAAAGTTACATTATAGGTACATAGATTATGGGTAGCTTATAGAGCTTAAAGGCTTGACTTATAGAGCCAAGTTATTATTTTATATAACTTAGAAAGTTATACATAAATTATGGATAGCTTATAGAGCTTAAAAGTTTGACTTATAGAGTCAAATACTTCTAGATATTGCTAGAAAGTATTCTACAAAAAATATATTTAGTAATGGCGACTTGAAATTTGTATTTACAAAATGTACAAATAATATAAAAAGTAATAAGAACCTAAACTATCTGAGGCAACTTAAGATCTAGGTATCTACAAAAATTTACAATTTTATGGAAAATAGTAAAAACCTTAAGTATCTAACTATATAAATATGTATAAAATTTACATTGAGTCACAAGTCACTCGATGGGCAAGACGGCAATTTTTGTTACGGACCTTAAATAGTTACCTATTCGTGTTCGAACTTCAACGACTCGAACTTTGTCATCTTTCCCAGGTATTGTTCTTGTGATTCTGGCAATGGGCCATTGAAGAGAGGGTACATTATCCTCCTTCAGCAAAACTAATTTAAAAGCCCTTCCCTTAGGTTAGGGACCGAGTGTTGCCACTTAGGCCTACTCTGAAGCTGCGCTAAATAATCTTTGTGCCACCGCTTCCAGAAGTGTTGCTTCACCTGAGTAGCCATATTCCAAAATGACAACCTATTTTCCGGAATTTCAGTCAAATCTTTTTCAGGAAAGCTTGTTATAGTTGAACCGGTTAAAAAATGACCTGGCGTCAAGTATTCTAAATCGAAAGGATCGTTTGTTAATTGAGTTAGTGGCCTAAAATTTAAAATTCCTTCCACTTGGACTACTATATAGAGTGTTTAATTGCTCGTAGGTCAATCTCTGCGCTCTCCCATTGTTCTCTTTAGGTGGTGCTTGGCACTCTTGACCCCGGCTTCCCAGAGACCCCCAAATACTGGCGAGTAGCTAGGAATAGACCTAAAAACGATTTTTTCATTTGCAACAGAATGTATTATTTTATTTCTGCTTTCAGAATCGAAAAACCGGTTAAGTTCTTCTAATTTGTTCTTTGCGCCTTTAAACGTTCCGCCATTGTCGCAAAAAACTTGTGAGGGTTTCTGATTTTTACGATGATTTTTATTTGCAATTATATTTTTTTAAATTTTGAATGAATCGTAACATAAATGCTACTATTCTTTTTAGCTTATCTATATGTCTGAATAATTGTTAAAAAATGAATTTTCGATTGGTTCAACAGTCTGAGTAAAAACATTAACCTTTTCTTCAGGTAATGGGCTTATAATATTAATTTTAAATGAATTGTGACAAAATTTAGGATCTGATAGGTTTTCTGGACCAAAAAACCAAAGTTTATTTTTATTTAATTCTGTAGCTTTAACACCTCGGCTTAGACAATCTGCAGGATTTTGCTTGGTGTTTATGTAAAGCCACTTAAAGTTATTACTTAATAGAGAAATCTGCGTCACTCTATTCCCAACGTAAGGATTTGAGATTGGGTATACTTACTTTTAGAGACTTCAGTATTCCTTAGAAATTCTGAGGAGCTCTTGACGTTCTTGTCTTTCACGTCTCGAGATGACATTAAAATCTTTAGGTCATTTCTTTCGCATTCCAATTTTGAGACAAGACCGTCTCCGTGCAAGGTATCAAAGTCCTACCTACATAATAGGTATACATATTATAGAGGTAATAGAGGTATACAACTTACCTTTAGAAAAAACCGGTGACAGGTATAACCGACTTTCTATTTAACACCTCGAACAACACAAAACCGAAAAAAACGACTTGAACGGAGTACGTCCCAGATAGTAAAGAAATATTCAATAAATATTTTTTAAATATAAAAGCGACAGATTTTTAAATATTATTTAAATATAATATTTCTCAAATATCAAAAAAAAATATCATATAAATATTTTAACTATTAGATTTCTCAAATATTTACAAAAAATATTATATCAATATTTCAAATATAATATTGCACAAATATGAAATATGAGAAAAAAAACTTCAATAAATATTTTAAATAGGTATATATTACTCAGCTAAATATTTTTTTACAAATACGTTTAAATATAATATGGCTTAAATTAATTTTGTCTATTAGGTATTATTGGTTATGTTCACAATAGCACTCAACTGTTGCCAACAGTTGAGTAGAGGTATGTTCGCACATAAATTACAAACCAGCCAGAGCATTGGTTGAGGACAGTCAGGAAGCTAGTTCCAACTAATAAAATTCGCTCTGACCAGTTTGTATAATTTATGTGTGAACAGACCTCTACTCAACTGTTGGCAACAGTTGAGTGCTGTTGAAGGTACCCATTAATAGGTCTGTTTCTGCAGAAATCACAAATCAGTCAGTGCGAATTTCATTGGTTGAAAACAGTCAGAAAACTAGTTTCAACCGATGAAATAGGTACACTCTGACTGGTTTGTGATTTCTGCAGAGACAGACCTATTATTTTCGCAAACAGACATTAACAAAAAAAAACGAAAAAGAATAGCAACATCATCATTTGTATTTTCCACATCACTCATTGCCTAAACCTAATGAATGTCTATATATACATAGGGCGAAAATTAGTTCGGAAGAGCACAAATAAATAACTTGATTATAAGTTTATCACACCGTAGCCACTTGCACTATTAGTATTTTTGTTTTAAACAATAATCATCCACATTTAACACCACTTCAAAACTGAAACCACAATTCACAAAAATCCAAAATGCACGCTAAGGACACACCAAACCCAAAAAGCAGCAGAGCATGAAGTAACATGGCGGCATGGTG